TCTCTTTCTTCTTCTTTAACATCAAATGTCAACAGTTTGAGCAATTAAAAATGCATAAGGTGGTGAAAGGGTGGACATTCATTTTAGCCTTGTAGGCTGGACAGCAACACCATTTATCATCGTGGGAATGTGGCATGAGAAATGAGAAAGGTGCCCCAGGATAATGGGAAAACATTTAACTCCTGCCCTTCCCAAAGCTACAGACCATTGTTTGTGGAAATACCCATGGCTCAGGAGTTAGACCGTCCTGAATTTCTCACCTTGGCTGTGCATGTGCAGAGGTTTAGAAAACGAAAAGATAATGTGAATCCCAGTCGGTATATCCTGTAGGCTGGGTTGCTTCACCCAGACCCCTGCCCTGACTCCAGTTGCCTATAGAATTGAGTCCAAACTCCTCTCTCAGAATTCATTACTCTATTTGTGCTGATATAACAGAATACCTGAGACTGGATCATTTATAAACAACAAAAAAGTTTATTCCTCATAGTTCTGGAAACTAGAAGCCCACTATCAAGGCACCCGCTTCTTCTATCTGGAGAGGGCTTTTTCACTGCACCCTCATGTGACAGATAGTGGAAGAGCTAGCAAGCCTTATGCTGCATGAATCCTTTGATAAGGGCCTCAGTCCCTCCCATGAGCGAGGAGCCCTTATGGTCTAGTTACCTCTTCATAGCTCACCTCCTAATACTGTCACATTGGTAACCCCTGAATTTTGGAGGGGACACAATCAGATCGTAGCAAGCCCTATCTAAATGCCATTCATGTGTCCAGCTCCACCTCCCTCTCTCCATTCTGACCAAACACACAGACTCCACCCTGCTCCCTTGCACCTTCAGCCTCCTGCCTGGAACATACCCTGTACCCTCAAACATTCACCTCCTCTTCAGCTTTGAGGTCATTGTAGATGGCACCTTTCCTTTCCCCCAGGGCTGGACTCCATCATCCCCACCTGGGGTCCTGTCCCCTTGTTTAAACTCCTCTGGTCCTCAACAGTGAACTCTGGCATTTTGCATGACCATTTGAGAAAATAGCATAGGTGACAGAAGACCTGGCTGCTAAGACCCATTCTGCCACTAATCCCACATGTGCCTTTAAAAAGCCATGTCTCTTTCTTGGCCCCACTTTTCTTATCCATAAAACAAAGGACTCAGGCTGGGCTCCATCCAGCCCTGATCATAAAAATTGTTTTCTTCTCTGAGATCTTGAGCTCTGTGAGGGCAGCTCCCTTACCTTTTTTAAGCTGTGCCTAGCATACTGCCATACCCATACTGGATGCACAGAAAAGGTTCTGTGGGGCTGAATGCTTACAGAACCTTCAAGAAGACCTGAGACCAGTGCATGGGGCGGGTGCTAAAGACCATGGGGGGAAGGCAGGCTGGGCTTGGAGTATTGTGTGTTGAGCCACTTTCAAAATTTCCCCATGGAATCAGATCATGAGCTTTCTTCTTATTTAATAAAAAGCTGGATAATGAGTCCCACAGCCAACTTGTTATTTTCCCTCTGAGGTGGTGCATAATCCAGACACAGGCAGTAACTCACGGGTCTATTGAGGGTCCCTGGAAGCATGTGATTCAAGAAGTCAAAAATGTAATAATGGAGAGGCCAAATTTGTGTTTTAGGCAAGTGTGTCTTGCTCTTTGTATACAACGGAGTCATTTTCCGAAGCTGATCTCACATAGTAGGTCAGTCCAAAGGGGCCTCCCCCATTCACTACTGTCCCTCAGTGGTGGACACTTTACCGACCCTTGGTATAAGGTTGAGCCTTGTACTCTTCAAACAGTACCAGAAGACCTCAGGTCCCTGATCCAGTGTTGGCCTCTGGATCACCCAGTTCTTCAATTTCCTCATCTGCAGAGAGTTGTTTGTGTGGTTAAATGAGGTAGCCCCGCCCATGGCTGCCTGCTGCAGGCTGAGTCTATTATTCTGCTAGAGAACCTGGAAGCTTATTTTTCAATGCATTCTTTCTTTGCTCCTATTCCTCCCTGCATATATTGGTATAGTGTAGCAGGTCTGTGTGGAGTTTCTCTGATGGTGGACCACATCATGTGCACCTACACAGTACCTGTGTCCATGTACCTGTTTTCATCCATAGATTCCTTACCTTCACTTTTTAAAATTAATTAATTAATTTATTTTTATTAGGTATATATGACAGCAGAATGCATTTTGATTCATTGTGCACAATTGCAGCAGAACTTTTCATTTCTTTGGTTGTACACCATGCAGCGTCGCACCATATGTGTAGTAATACGTGTACCTAGGGTAATGATGTCCATCTCATTCCACCATCTTTCCTGTCCCCTCTTTACCTTCAACTTTGACAAAAGTAACTTAGGCCTCATACAGTGTTTGTATTTCCATCATTCACTTCAGGAGACATTGAGCCTTGGTTTCTTAAAATAGTTCTTTTTAAATTTTTTTAAAATATTTTTTTTAGTTGTAGATGGACACAATATCTTTATATTTATTTATTTATTTTTATGTGGTATTGAGGATCCAACCCAGGCCCTCACGTGTGTGAGGCAAGCGCTCTACCACTGAGCTACACCCCAGCCCCCAAGTAGTTTTTTTTTTTTTTTAATCTGGGATCAATAATTCTTTATAGACATGCAAAGTAGGCATGAAATTTGAGATGACAAAGTCCTGGGCTTTCTTGGGAGGCACATGATGGGGCGGGGCATGGAGCTAGCTGACAGCCCTGGCTTTAGATCTTGTTGCTTCCAGATGCTACCAGACCCTTAAGTTCCTGAAGCCTGTTTCCTCATCTGTCAAAAAGTAATAGCAAAAATGAAGAGGCTTCTGAAGGTAGTTACAGGGATTAAAGAAAAATGTAGCTAGGAAAGTGCTTTGTATGACCACAACCATAAAATATGATATGCATGTGTTGCTGTTGCTGTTCCCTAAATTGCATTCATTTGTCCTCTGCTCTGATATCTAAATCCATTTATTTACTTGAAATTCAAGCATTACAGGTTGTCCCCACCTTTAGCAAGCCAGAACATCCTGACACAGAATGCTTTAATAAGATGCAGTTGAAGGCTGGGCAGGGCAGAGGCACTGAGTGGGAGAAGTGGGATTCCCAGTGACTTATTCTGGGCAGGAACAGAACTTGTCTGGGTTTCATTCCTTTTTCTATACTGGAAAATGTAAGCCACAGATCTATGCATATCCCTCAACATTCATGAGTGAGACCAAGCTAATGTTTATAAAAGCCTGTTTAGAGGAGCTGCCCTTGGGGTGGAGAGAGAGCCCATTGCCTCAAGCTGCTAAAATTTAATCTGAAGAAAATGCACTCTTCCCCTAGAAAATGGGCTGGGCCCCACAGACTGGGTCAGCTTTAAAATCAATAAATCGATTATCAAATCACCTTGTCTAAGTAGTGTGGATCAGGGAAATAATGCATTATGTAATTCATTGTGTCCTCAGGAATTGCAAAAGCTGTGTCCATGTTTATAAATGAGGAATTTCACCTTCTCCTATGAAATTTTGTTAAACGTTTGGTTTGATGTTTTTAATTTTCTCATCCCACATCAGTTAATATGGCTTTTCCATTCCATTCCAAAGTAAGGTTCGTTATTGTTTGGCAACTGCAAAATAATATGTGTATATTGTAAGAATTTTAGAAAGGATGGGGAATTACAAGGAACAAATAACATATCACCTATAAATAATGAACAGTGACTGAACAGGAAAGGGTATGAGGGAACCTTTTTGGAGTAATAAGAACATTTTATATCTTCTTTCTGGAGGTGTTGGTTAGTGCACAGGCATATCTGTCAAAACTTCAACTGATGCATACTTGATGATTTGTGATCTTCATTGTATGTAAATTTTATATGCAAAGGAAAACTAAACAGTTACTGAACTTGAGGTAATGATGTGCATGACAAAGTATTTAGGGGGAAATGTACAGATGTCTGCAATTTGCTTTAAAGTACATAAAAAATAAGGTGGCTTGATGATGGATAGATGGGTAGATATGTGATCAAGCAAATATATTAAAATGTTAATTGTAGAATCCAGATGGTGGGTATATGAGTGTACACTATAAAACTCTTTCAACTTTGCTGCATGTTTGAAAATTTGCATGATAAAGTATTGGGGAAAAGAGATTACTAATTTAGGAAAAAAAGTCTATATTTAAAATTCAAACTTAATGACTATTAACATTTAAATGCACTTTCATTGTCACTTTTAGGAACATATAACTTTATATCATTAAGATCTTTCTATGTACATATTTATTTCCATATTTTTTCACTCAATATTGTACCACAGTTTTCTTTTGCCACTCAAAGTTTTATGTCATTTTTAAGTTAAGGTACCATTTACAAATAGTGAGATGCACACTTTTTAGTGTATAGTTCCATGAGTTTTGACAAATGCATATAGTCACATAACCACCACCACCACCACCAAGATGTAGAACAGGTCCATCATTCTGGAAAATTTCCCTGTGCGTCTTCAAGGTCAACCCCTCCCCTTACATCCAGCCCCTGACAACCACTGATCTATTTTCCAGAGTTCATTATAATGGAATCATATAGTAATATATAGTATGTAGCCTTTTGACTCTGGCTTCTTTCACTCCATGAATCATCCATGTCATGGCATGTACTAGAAGTTTGTTCTTTTCCTACCAATGTTCCATTATAGGGTGTAATTTTAGTGCTTGTAAAATTTCATTGTATATCATAACCTGTTGTATTCCTATATTTCCTATTATTTGGATATTTAGGATTTTTTTTATTTTTTCACCATGTAAATACCCTGGTAGTGAACATCTTTTTGCATAATTGTTGCCACTGATCATTTCTTTAAGGTAGATTCCTGGGAAGGGAATTACTATGAATAGTTTTAAAGCCCTTGATACACTGTATAGTCATTAAAATGTTTTCCTTTGTATTTCTTTAAGTGGTTCATAACAAGCTGAACTTAAGGTCCCACTGGTGTTTATAACCTTCTTTCCCTCCCTCTCTTTTTCAATGTCGTCCCTGTAGAACTGACCTGAAGCTTCCCTATCATCAGTGGGGTTTCAAAATTATAAATCATGGAGGCCAATCAGGAGACTTCTCTCTTCTTGGTGAAGATCTTGGAGGAACTGGACAGCAAGCAAAATACCGTTTCCTATCAGGACCTGTGCAAATCACTGTGTGCCCGGTTTGATCTGTCGCAACTTGCCAAACTGAGAAGCGTGCTCTTCTACACTGCTTGTCTCGATCCCAATTTTCCAGCCACATTATTCAAAGACAAGATGAAATGCACTGTGAATAACCAGCAATCCAAGAAAATCATGGTGGCAGCAGACATCGTGACCATATTCAACCTGATCCAAATGAATGGGGGTGCCGCTAAGGAGAAGCTGCCTACTGGTCGCCAAAAGGGCCGCAAGAAGGAGGCGTCCTTTGAATCATGCAGGTCTGACACAGAGATCTGCAACGCTGCCGAGTGTGAGCCCCTGAACTGTGAGCTGAGCGAGAGGCCCTTCAGCCGGGGCTACCCCACCAGGCAGTCATCCAAGTGCCGCAAGATGGATTGCAAGGACTGCCCGCAGTTTGTCCCTGCCTCGGAGCCCAACTTCTTGTTGGGTGTCAGCAAAGAGGTGAAAAACCGGGCTGCTTCCCTGGACAGGCTGCAGGCTCTGGCCCCATACTCTGTGGCCAGCCCTCAGCCCTGTGAGATGCAAAGGACCTACTTCCCCATGAACATCGAGAATGAGTCCATTTCAGACCAGGACTCCCTGCCCCTCAGTCAGAGCATCAAGGAGACCTTCATCTCCAATGAGGAGCCCTTCGTGGTTCAGTCTTGTGTCCAGAAAAGGAACATCTTCAAAGAGGATTTTCACAATCTCATGACCGTGTCCCCGAGTTTGGTTGATCCTACCAACAAAGCAGAGGCTGAGCATGGGGAACATCAGAGTCGAAAGGAGTCCCACAAGCCACCCTTCTTTAATCACAGCTTTGAGATGCCCTACCACAGCCAGTACCTGAACCCGGTGTATTCCCCCGTTCCTGACAAAAGGCGCGTAAAGCATGAAAGCCTAGATGACCTTCAAGCATCTACGTATTTCGGACCCACTCCTGTGATGGGAACCCAGGACACCAGACGCTGTCCGGGGAGGCCCAGTAAGCAGACTCCGTGGCCAGCCAAAAGCTGGAGCTTAAATACAGAGGAAGTTCCTGATTTTGAACGGTCCTTTTTCAATAGAAATCCCTCCGAGGAAAAGCTACGCTACCCGAATCCCGGAAGCCAGACCCCCAATTTTTCAGCTCCAGACAGGCGCCCCACTTACTTGGTGCCGAAGGATCAGCAGCCGATTCTCCCCATTGGCTACGCGGTGAAACAAAATGGGCTCAAATCTAAAGAGATCTCATCCCCTGTTGACCTGGAGAAGCACGAAGCCATCAAGAAGTTTAAAGACAAGAGTATTAGCTGCACCAGCGGACAGCTCAGCTCAGACACCAGTAGCGTGGGCACTCAGACGGAGCAGCACGTCCTAGAACCCAAGAAATGCAAAGACTTGTGCGCCTCTGGCCCGGGCAAGTACAGCGACAGGCACATGAAGCACTCCGATGACGACTCTGAAATCGTCAGTGACGATATCAGTGATATTTTCCGGTTCCTCGACGACATGAGCATCAGTGGTTCTACGGGGGTGATACAGTCGTCCTGCTATAACAGCACCGGGTCCTTGTCTCAGCTTCATAAGTCGGACTGTGACAGTTCCCCAGAGCACAACCTCACCAAAATTGCCAATGGGGTCCCCAACAGCAAGGGAGACAAGGGCAACCGGCCCGAAAACATCCGCCACTCGGAAGAAGAGTTGAAGACCAGTGTGTGCAAACTGGTGCTCAGGATCGGTGAAATTGAACGGAAGCTGGAATCACTGTCGGGGGTCCGCGAGGAAATCTCCCAGGTCCTGGGCAAACTCAATAAACTGGATCAGAAGATGCAGCAGCCAGAGAAGGTGAATGTGCAGATCGATCTGAACTCCTTGACTAGCGAGGCTCCCTCGGATGACAGCGCCTCTCCCCGGGTGTTCCGTGCACACAGTGGCTCCCATGGACCCAAGCTGGAGAGCAACGCGGACTGGTGCTGCTCCGATGCCAGCGGAAGCAACAGCGAAAGCCTGCGCGTCAAGGCCTTAAAAAAAAGCCTCTTCACCAGGCCATCCTCCAGGTCCCTGACCGAGGAGAACAGCGCCACCGAGTCCAAGATCGCCAGCATCTCCAACTCGCCCAGAGACTGGCGCACCATCACCTACACCAACCGCATGGGCCTCAATGAGGAGGAGATAAAAGAGGCAGGCCCAGGAGATAATAAGGACTGGCATCGGAAATCTAAAGAGGTAACTGAAATTTAGGTTCCCATCATTGGCACCGGCTTTATCATAGCCCTGGTTGTATTTCCAAGCTCGGGATATTCCATAAAGCAGGAAAAAGGCCTCATCTCTGTGTGCTAGTTACCCTTCCAGGTTTGGCAAGCTTGGCCCATTAGAACAGAGAGGACAAGAAGGCAGGCTGTTTGTTCGGCCAATTGTCAGTCAGGGAGGTGGAGCTCACTCTGAGATGTTGCCTGCAGTAGACAGTGTGGCTGGGATATTGGACAGGTGGTGTGAGAACAGATTTTCACAGAACGGGGGTGTGTCAGGGCAGACAGGCGCCACCAAGGATGTCTTTCTGTCCTTTTCGAAGCAGCAGGACCCATGCCAGGCAAGCAGGGAAAATGCTTTGCAAATATGCTTGCTGATGTGTGTCCTTTTTATGGACTTTGTTTCATGTGTGATGTTCCTTTGCAAAAGCATGAATTCTGTCATTGTAAGACAGATGTTGAGTAAGAAGATAAATAAGAAAACGATTCATTGTTCCCCATGCAAAAATAGCAACTCTTAATATGGTGTCTCCCTTTCCTTTTCCATTGGTTCTCCCTACATAGTTGTATTGTTCTGTGCTTTCAATGTGAGCATGAGTGCTTTTGCACATTGATCTCAGACTTCACCTCATCAGCTCTGGAATCTGCACAGTTACATATACTCGAATGCTTTCTTTTTCTCATTCCCTGTGGTAAGGAGGGACTTGTTTCAGTGGCACCTGTGGCTACTCCTGTTCATTCTGAGTGAGTTCCAGAGAACCATTTCTGGCCAAAGTGATAATTTTCAGTTTGTCCTTGTCTCCATTCCCTCCCCTGCTTCTCAAGGTAAGTGGTCGGACCACAGAGTCTGCTGAGGTCCCTGAGGACAGGATTGCCAGGGACAGGAAGTGAGGATGGTGTGGGATGCACATGTGCTAAGCTAGAGGAGGAGGCTGAGATTCTAAAATGTTACAAAGAAAGGAAAGCTTGGAAAACTGGGTCCTAAGGAGGTTCTCAGGGTCCAAAGACGGGGGAAAGAAAAAAATTAAGTAGCCATTTTTTCTGACCCCCAAGAAGCCTTGGGTAGTACTGGTCACCACTCCAGTTTTCTGTATCTGTTTTCCATGAATAGTGTTGGAGAAAGGCCAGAGGATGATCCATGCTGCTACTCTGACTGGATGCCCAGACATGTCCTTGTCTTCTAGTTCCAGTGCCCTTGTCTCTTAGCTAAGCCAGGTTTATAGAATCCTGGGTCTTGGATAGCATTGAAAAGTGGCCATTTAGAGGTCTGAAGTGCTCAGGCACTTCTTAGGAATGCTAATTCAAACTGAACTAGCCACGCCTGCAATCCATTAAATGTCCAGGCTTCACCTGACCAACAGGAATAGCCACAATGTAAAGGAAGAGCCATTTGAAATGTGCCTCACACAAAAGCCTTCTTCATTTTGTTGCCTCTGTGACCCTATTTTCTTCTACCTGCTCTCACCATCCCTAGGCTGAGGATGGTGCTAACTGGCCTGGGTTCTCAATTTGGTCCCAGGTCTCAAATTGCTGCAGGCCAGTTCCCCACATGACTTGCCCACATATCAAAACCTACAGGTCTCAAATCAGACTTTTGTGTTCCTTGAAAGCCAGTGTTCCTTCTTGCTGATTCCCTCCTGGGGGCATTGGGTCACCATTTCATGCAATCATCGAAGCTAAAAAGGCCCTGCTCACCTTGGACTTCTCTTTGCCTCACTCACATCAGTAGAGCTGCTAGGCCCTGTGCATTGTTCTCTTGTGGTATTTCCTACATTTCTTCCTTCCTTTCCATTTACCCCACACACAACCCAGGCTCTTAGCACCCCCCACCTAGGACTTGGGGGCCCACTCTCTGCTTTCTGTCCTACATCATGGACCACTGCTGTGTTTACTTTCCAAAATTCTGCTCTCTGGTTGCGTGGTGCCTCCTATTCCCAACTGCTTCTTGGTACCCCTTTCCTTCAGCAAAAAGTCTCAAACTTAGGTTTTAAGGCTTTGTGGACTTTATGTACAACACACACACACACACATACACACACACACACACACCAGATGGTTCTGTTACATCCTGAGGCCTATTTTTCCTCAAAAATGCCATGCTCACATCCAGTCACCCATTCAGCAAATACTGATTGAGCATCTATAATGGCCAGGCCCTGTTTTATCATCAAAACTTTCTTCATATGATTCCTCCATCAGAAATATCTGACCCCCTCCTCTGTGCTGATATAAGTCCTGCACACTCTTCATGACATCTTAATTCATAGGTATCTGGAAGCTTCCCTAGATTATTGGTGGTCTTTGATCTCTAGTCTTTGTTCAGATGTAATAGGCTAAAACATACATATTGTGTGTGTATATATGGATTGCCAAGTTAAAACATAAACTCCTCAGTGGTAGGAACAGACATGGTCAGTTAAACATCCTGTCTTAGGAGTGTCAACAGGTACAGATTCTGGTTCTACCACTTACTAGTTGTGTAGCATTGGGTCAGTCTCTTAACCCCTCTGACCTGAGATTCCACATGCATGATGGGGATAACTATAGTTACAACCTCAGGATATTAATGAGAAGATGGAATGAGATAATGCACCTTTAGCACTGGGCACATAGTCCTTGGTTAACTGTGATCACGATTGCAGTGGCTGTTGTGGTTGTCATTATTGCCATTTTCACCAGTCCTCAGCTTGGTGTGGGCCCTGCATGTGGTAGAGGCTCTATGAATGTCAAGTCATGGAAATTAGAAGAATAGGTCAAATCAGTGAAGACTCTTCTGAGTCTTGGCTTTGATGAAATAGAAAACAAGAGGGAACACCACTTCCTTGTTTGGGTTTAGCAGAGTTTGTCCTGCACTCTTCATGTCTGTGTAACAGCCTTGGTGGGTTGGAATAGCTAATTGCTAGCTGTGTTTGAGCAAGAGCCGATGGGCTGGATTTGAGGATAGGTGGGCAGTCGGTCCCCTTGCATGTGGGCAATGCACTCACATGCATTTGTTCATCACATGTCACATGTCACACCTGATATATCATCCTCATGACAATTAACCTGATTCCCTTTCTCTTACTTCTTACTACACTCCTCTACTCCAGTCTTTTTCTATTAATTATATGCACAACACTCTTTGCTAACTCAACTCCATACCATTGGTTTCTCTCCCTTCCACAAATAGTGATGGACTGTCTTCTACGCAGTGTCTATTTTGCTGGATCCAGGATTACAAGGTGAACAATTGCCTGCCTTCAAGGAACTCACAGTCCAGTGGAGACAGATGGATAAACAGGCAGTTATTGTTCAATGTGACAAATGATGGCTGAGATGTCTACGCACAGTCCTGTGAGGTCACATGCCTGGGTGCTATCGAAGTCTTGGTGGGTCAGGAAGTGCTGCCTGGAGGAAATGACATCTTTGTGGCTTGAAGGTAGAAATAGAGAGCATCAGAAGTTCTCCATTATAACAGGTCCACTGAGAACAGTCCAGGGATATGTTTCCTGGACTGAGGACATAAATGATGGTGAGCTGTGTTAGGCACCTTCACACCTTCACCCTGTTGCCCTGACTATCCTCTTATCCTGAATGCCTGTAGATGCCTCTGAAAGGGACCACCAGCTACCAGGGATAATTGCTAGAGAGGCAGTCCACATGTGCTTTCTTCCTGGCCTTTCCTTTTGAGACAAATAGTGTGCATAGAAGGGAGGACCTGAATCTTTCACTCCAGCTATAAAATGGTAAAAGAAAGAAGAGGCATTGCTATGCAGCAGTCAACAAAGACTCTCTGGAGCCAGTTGATTAGGTATCAATCCCAGGTCTAACCCATATCAGCCGTGTGTCCTGGGGCAGGTGGTTGAGTCTGGGCTTCATTGTTCTGTCTGTGCAATGGGTGTTAATATGGCAGTGATGGTGTTAGGATCAGATTGAAGAACCTGGCATGGAAGAATTAGCTTGTGTTCATACTATTAGAATCAGAAGCTTTTACTAGGAAATGTCCCCAATACAGGTATGTTTTCTATTTGTTCCTAAGTAACTACACGTTGCTACCTGGATGTGATAAGAAGCTGCACCCTGAGATCTGATAGCCCCTGTGCTGCTTTTCTGGAATTCTCTGTGCCCCTCTGCAGGCTGACAGGCAGTATGACATCCCCCCACAGCACCGACTGCCCAAGCAGCCCAAAGATGGCTTCCTGGTGGAGCAGGTGTTCAGCCCTCACCCCTACCCCACCTCACTCAAGGCCCACATGAAGAGCAACCCCCTGTACACGGACATGCGGCTGACGGAGCTGGCTGAGGTGAAGCGGGGCCAGCCTTCTTGGACCATCGAGGAGTATACGCGGAACACAGGCGACAAGGGCAAGCTGACAGCCCTGGACCTGCAGGTGAGCTTTTCCTGTTCCCGGGTGGGCCGCGGGGAGCCCTGCAGTGTGCAGGCAGATGCAGGAATGGGTCAAGGATGGCTTAGACCCGCCCACTCCCTCACCCTTCAACTCCCTGGGTCCCCCTTATGAAATTCTGAATTCTAATCAATCAGAGAGCAGAGGAGATTCTTTTTTTTTCTAACAAGGGGGATTGTTGTTTTGTGTAGTTGTTTTTAAACATTTAGCAGTGGGGATGCTTGCTTTATTTTTATTTGTTGGCCATCTGATTTGCTAATGATGCATTTAAGACCAAGTGCAGATTCTAATCTTGACTCATAAGACCTGAGCCAAACTGTTTAATGAAATACAAGCTGATTTCTCCTTCCATATGTAGCACGTGGGATAAGCATATTTATGGGAGCCAAGCTATGGATTATGTTTCCATATGGAGCAGCCCCAGGTAAGAGCCATCCCCAGAAGCTCTGTGAATGCCATTGTGGCCAGAGGGCATGTTTTTTGTTCACCCACAGGCAGGGCTGGGTTTTGGCCACACTTTTCATTTTGGTGAGCAGCTCCACCTTAGTTTCATTCACGCCACATCTATCTGTGTCTCTATCTACATCACCATGAAGCAAAGAAAACACTGTCCCTACCTGTGGGCTTAGCTTTGTGAGCAGCGAGGCCATAGCACCAAGAGTGCGTCATATCCAGAATGACCATGCACTTGGTAAGAGCTGCTTATAGAGGCCAATATAGCAAGACTGTCCTGCAGTGGCCTTGTTCTAAATCAAAGAGGGCTGCAGGAGGGGCGGCATGGTGCAGAGAAGACCTGTATTCCAGCAGCACTGGGTTCTAAGCCAGGGCGCCTTCACCGTGTAACCTGCTTCAGCATTGGTCCTTCTATCTATGACATGGGCCTAATAATATCCAACTTATGGTGGCACTGTGAGAACTGAAAATGATATGCTAAAATCCACCGAGTTAAGTAGGCACTGAAAAGGAGAGCGTTGGGAGATTCAGCATGGAGGGTAAAGGAGGCTGGGATCCGTCATCTTCGCTTGGGGCTTCTCACAGCAGTCTCTCATCCAGGCCCAGTGGAGGCAGGAGTTGGTAAGACTCTCTCCAGTTTAGGAATGAGGAAATAGAGGCACCAGGAAGGGTGGCAACTTGCCCCAGGTCAGACGAGTCTAAAGCACACTGGACCATCAGCAATAAGTCTCCCGTTCTTTCTCTTCTTTTACCTTGGCACCATTTCATTTTTCAGTTGATAAGAGTGTAGTGGATCTTCATGTCACAAACATTGATTGCAATGACATTTGTGTATCTGGGGCCCTAAATTATGTAATTATGGGAAAGGGATGCTCTGGTCAGATCCTCAAAGTGAGGTTAGTGGGTAGAGGAGCATCCCCCAAGTACCTTCTCAGCCTTCTTACTTCATGCATGTTATGACCCCATGTGTACTGCATGTCACCTATGCCTTTGGGACAGTACCTTTCCTGTCATCTTCCTGCTGACAAGCAGGTCAGACAAGAGTTGATTCCCTGGCAGGTGGGTCTCTATGCAGCTTTGCCATGAGTGCTACACCTCGATCTATAGATATTCAACAACAGTGAGCCACTGCTTAGAAAGAACCCAGAGATGTGAATGGCTAAACCAGTAGAAAAATCCACATTTCACCAGTGCCAGGGAGATGATCTTGAAAGAGTCAGATGATTGCATGAGACTAAGAAACTTTTTTTTTTTTTTTAAGTTTAGGGAGAGGGAGTGAGAAGATACAGGCCTTCCAATTATATGCAATTTTAGTGTGCCAATGTTAACTAATTAATTTAATTATTTTATTTTTGAACCCAAGGTTATTTTCCCACTGAGATACATCTCCAGTCCTTTTCCTTTTTAAAATTTTTAAAGTTCTGAGACAGGGTCTTGCTGAGGCTGGCCTTGCACCTGTGTTTCTCCTGTCTCAGCCTCCCGAATTGCTGGAATTACAGGTGTGGGCCACGAAGCCCAAACAAAAATGCCAATGTTTAGAAGTATAAAAACAATTATAAAAAATAATAAAATAGATGTTCAGGTTGCAGTACTTTAGGTGACACTATGTAATGCAAAGGGTAGAGTGTTTAGTCACACAAGCTGAAGAAAGAGTTCAGTGCTTTGCAAGGGTGTTTGCAGCCAAGCAGAGCAAGCATCAGGAGCTTGGTGGAGGCAAAGACATCACCTGATTTGTTTTCATTGCTTTGCAGAGATGCAGGTACTGTCCTAGGTCAGCTTTAGCATCTGGACAATCTTCTTCGGGTCCCTTGTTGTCCAGCGGTGCCCACTTGCAGATGTAGGCAAAGGCATAATGGACCTGTTTTTACTTCCAGTGTTTGGCAGCCTAATTAACAATTGAGGACGCTCACCTGCGTCCCTGGGAGCCTCAGTATTACCTCTCTGCTACTTAGTGCCATTATGGCTTGCAGTTATTGAAAAAACTAATTAAAAATAGTTTATTTCACAGGCAGGATGCTAGCCCATAATAAAGCGTAGATAGCTATGAAAGGAAGCCAATTTCCTTCTATCTGAGCCGGAAACAAGGCACACAATCTGATGTGTCCTGTATAGACTGTTTACCTTTCAGAGCAGCCCTGGGAAGATTGGAAGAAGAGCAGGTTGTTTCAACGGCAATGGCCTGAGCCTGTCTTAAAGGTGCCAAGGCAGGGATGGCTGTGGGTCCAGCCTCTACCACACCAACCTTATGAGCACCTCACAGCATGGCAGACTAGTCTTCCAGGAAAATCAACCCATCTTGGGTTTATCTCTTCCTTCTAGAGTTTCTGTTCAACAAATGAAGGGCTTTTATTGCCAAGGAGAGCAGACCTGTCCCAGGTGTCCACAGAGGGCAGATGTGTATATGTGGAGGGGGTTGGCCGAAGCCCAAGAACATGCATTCTAATGGCCAGAGCAGGGCAGCCTTTAGAGGCTCCTGGATCCCAGTAGGGGACACTGTTGCAGGAATTTCTTGCAAAGGGTTGGACAGAGCACCTACACTTTAAGGACTTTTCCCACATTGAGAGTTCCTGGTTTTCATAATGGGTACACTGAGTGGCTAACACAGCCTTCTACCATCGAGATAACTTGAAAAATTCAACCACAGTGTTTAAACATTATGCCTCACTGGGGAGGGAGCCTGTTCTCTTTCCATTGTGTGATGTTGTACAATACGTACTAGCACAGAGGCCAGAGAGTAGATACTTAGGGCTTCATGGGCCCTACTGTTGTTATCACAACCGCTCACCTCTGCCACTGCAGCTCAAAAGCAGCTACAATTTGTCAATGAATGGACCTGACTGTGTGCTGACCAAACTTTAATTTTGGATATTGAGATATGCATTTCATATAATTTTCACTTACCGTGAAACATTCTTCTTCTGATTTTGGGCAACCATTTCAAGATAGAAAATGCATTCTGAGTTGGAGGGCTGTATAAAGACAGGTGGTGGGTTGGATCTGGCCCGTAGGCCAGTCTATAGGGCCTGTGCTAGAAGATGGGTAGCAACAGGAGAGTGAGGAGCCTGAGGAGCACATGGCAGCCGGCTGCCAGCACCCCGCAGAGAACAGATGGCATGCTCCATGGGGTGAGGGGAGGCCGGAGAGGACACCACAGTGGTGTGAGCAGGGATAGAGGTCAATGAGGTCCGGTGAAGCACCCAAGGACCAGCACCCGGGAGAAGCTGTTACCACTGTTGGGTCTGAAGGCCAAGGGCAGGGAACTATTTCTGAAATCCATAAGACCAACAGCTCTGGGAGCTGGAGCTGGTAGGAGCTGAATTGCTGCCAAACTGCAGCCCAGGAGGGAGGGAGCTGGGGAATAAATGCCTCCACCTCCACCTTTTTCTCCTCCTGTGGCCTCTGACTTAACCCACATGGGAGCTAGAGGGCAGGGGAGCCCCCATCATGTATTAATATGGGACAGTCTCCTGGGGGCACAGAAGAAGGAGCCAGAGAGCAAAGAACAGATCAGGAGGGCAGGCAGAAGATTACTAGCATGCATTAGGATCATCAATATACCATCAACAACATGGTGCGACTGAGTTTTTTTTAAAGTGTTGAAAGGTTTGTTTTTCAATCCGCTGTGTGTGTGAATTATAATGTGCCTGTATTTATGAACATTAAACAATCCAAGAAAAATCTTTAAAATGGTTATTTCGTGTGTGTTTCAGAGATTTAGGTGACCTCACTTGGAACTGCAATGTGTTGTTGCTTTTATGTGACACTCACATTATTAAATGCTTGCCATAAAATGAGAACACTGCCTCTCTTCACGGAAATAGATTATAGCCATCAACACGGAATAGGATTCATGAGCAATATAGGTTAAATATGATATTTCTCCTGCAGACAGTTCATTAATCTTGGGGAGACTGGGAGACAGATGTCAGTGGGGGGTGCCTCTTTGGGGGAAGCTGCACCAAGTCCAGGATCATTATCAAGACAGACGTGGGTTGGGGACGGTCTCTAGAACTTGACTTTGAGCACTGGCCTGACCTGCTCAGACAAATGTTTGGAACTGAAATATTTTACATTTTCTTTGAACTGTTTATCTTGGAGGTGCCTTTGATTTTCAGTAGAAGCTCTTCTAGGAATGGAAGACTTGGAGTAACAGGATGGCCTTGCTTCAGGCAGGTCTGTTCCTAGAGCCTGTTGGTAGAGAATATTTTTCAGTGACTTTCCTTTTTCCCCTTGCAGTGGGGACAGCCTGCTCTTGGTTATATGCCCTTGAAGTTTAGAGTTTTGTCTGTCCCGACCATATTTTGTTTGCTTGTCGATAGAGGATCCTTGGGCTTCTCGGTGTCAAAAACCACATGGCATTTTCAGTAAGAAAGGAGCTGGTGCACTCTGTGATGTGTGGGATGAGTCCTTGGTGGCAGGCACAAGGCCGGGGGAGCAGTGTCTGACAGTCACACCTAGTTGCCAGCTGCAGCAACATCTTCAGTGCTTTCAGGAGTGACAACTATCAGAATGTCTTTGACCTGACATCAAGGATTCATCCTATTTCTAACATCTTCTCTTCACTTTTAGACACAAGAATCTTTAAACCCGAACAACTTAGAATATTGGATGGAAGATATTTATACTCCAGGCTATGATTCGTTACTAAAACGGAAAGAAGCTGAATTCAGACGTGCCAAGGTCTGCAAGATCGCGGCTCTGATCGCTGCTGCCGCGTGCACGGTCATCCTTGTCATTGTTGTGCCCATCTGCACGATGAAATCATGAGCCTGTGGACACTGCATTCATGAAGCTTAGGACTACTGATGACTTCTTCCATGTTTGAAGAGCTTGCAGCAGTGCGACAACCGTTTGCTGAAACAGAGGTGAAATCATGGAGACTTTTCTGCAAATGCCGAAGGAGGTCTTCAGAGGGTATATACTCTAGAAAGAAATCTACCTACTTATTAGCTTTGACTTACTTACACTCTGATGCATTTTTAGAAGTGCAATATCTTTTCCTACCAAAAGAATGTAATGGACTATCAGTGAATACAAAGTGAATATTCTAAGCAAAAATAAAAAAGGAAGATTAATTGGATTCTTTCCATTTTGATGATGTTTTTTGGCCTGGAATAAGTTATACATAAGATATTTAATACATGCCTCCCTGGGGAAGCTGAGGGTGATAGCAAAGTGAAAAGAAAAAGGAGATGGGTTCTATTTTTCCGTAATAATGCTCTGAGACCATTGCTGGTGAAGTACAGGGTGTGTGTCCACACAGGATCTTACTTCTCTGCTGACTTTTATCAAGGGCTACCGACTTTGCATCCTTGCCCTTCTATCATCACCATGACAGAATGTCTGCAGATTGCAGATCTTCGTGGGAACATTCTAGACCTTCTTCCTTGTGCCCAGAGTAGGAAGGAGCTGGCCTGCCAAGCCAGCATGGCACCAAATGTGCCCTTTCTGCCTAATGGCCAAGGTGTTCAGGACAGGAGACCTTCCTATCCCCAACCCATGGTGTGGGGAGATGCTTGCTCATGGTGAAAGGTCGATATTTGAAAATTGTGGCCACCCCAAAGGATCTACCACTTTTGCTCTGGCGAGTGGTTCTACTCCTTGACTTTCTCTCTCCTAGTGATACCATATACTCTGCTTTGAAGAGTTTGGAACTTGTCCTTGTGCCTTGAGGAGTAGAGACAAATGGCGACACTTTGACATTCTAACTCTATACCATGGTTTCCATGCACCACCCATATCAGCTATTTTCAATGGCTTAAAAAGATTTCGAAAGCTTGTTCAATACTATGATAAAGGCACTGAGGTCTTCTCAACTACCCCAACACCTACTCCAGAGTTTTGAATACTTGTCAGCAGTGCAAAAAAAATAGTATCTATTTAACCACTTATCTATCTACATGTCTATCTAAATACGTAACTTTTGTTTATTGTCTTCTCTGTTAAGTAACTCGAGAGCAAAGTTTTCTCCAGTGTATAAGAAGTTGTTGTGATTTCATTAGAGTCTGATCTCAAGTTTCCACCTGCTGAATGGTGCTTTGCCAATAACTGGACAGAAAGAATCCTTGTCAACATCTGCTTCTAATGTTCTGTTATGAGTTAAAACAAAACAAAACAAAAATTTGCCAAGCAAGCAACCTTAAATTCTTTTCTTCTCGAGGTGGTATATACATAATTTTTGGATAGTAAGAAATTTTTGCTCTGGATGGTATGATAAATTCCTGCAAGTGGGGCTTGGGAAGCATCTCAATTTTTAAAGCAATAGGAGTCCAGCAATCATCCTAAACAATTACAATAATATTTAGCTTGCTGTGTCTAATTCTACTGTTCACTATTAAGAGGTAGTCAGTGCATTTTATGATGTTAGCAAATGAGGGATGGATGCTCTCAACTGTAGTGAGCCTTTATTTTTAGAGGTCTTCATGTTATCTATTTCTATTGTCATGTTTATGTATGGATTTTCAATTAGGTGACTGAAACTTAAGCCTTAGTATTGAGGGTTTATAATTGAAAATGAAAAAAAAAAAAACCTCTATATATTATTGTCTATTGTCAGAATTTTAGTCTTTTGGTGCTCCATTTTAAATTGGGCACTTTAAATAAGATTATTTCTTTCACCCCAAAGAGGTCATAGATTACACCCTTGGGAGTTGCTGTCCTGCCTTCTCTCCTCCAACCAGTAAGATTCTGTACCGCATTCTGGTCCCACCATTCTGCCCTCTATCACAGATTAAGCTGCCAGAGCATCAGAGATCGTACCTCCCAACTTCTGTGTCTGTGATTTGCAGAAAAGTGGAGATGTGCTCACCCAGGATAAGAAAAATCTTGTTAAATCCCATCCCGACTCCTCCATTAGAAAGATAGGATCATGGTGGTTGGGCCACACCACTTTGCCACTGCCGTTGGGTGAATCTATTACTAATGGACCCTCTCTGCGTCATGTGCCTAGCTACTGAGGGAGGGCACCACTGTGTGCCCCACCCCAAGCATGGAAGTAGAAGGACCCTGTGGAGCCTTCTATATTTTTTCTTCATTTTTGGGGAGATAGCCAGTCTTGCTTGAAGTCCAGTATAAAATTTAAATTCAACTCAACATTGTTATTACATAATGAAACATCCAGACCTGGTGTTAACCCAGGAAATCAGATACTGAAGGTTTATCAGGGGTGGGGTCATCCTCAGCCTGATGGTACCAAGTCTACTGTTGAAGTAGCAGGCCCTGGCTGTGTCTTGAAGCTAACTGGTGCTTGAGGTCTTGGGATCCATAGAAGGTGAAGTTCATAGTTGGATCCTTTCTCCATTGGCCCCTAAGCTTGCTCCAGCCTTCTTCCCCAGGACCCCAGACTCACCCCAGCAATTCCAGTCCCTTAATATGCTGAGTGGAACAAGAAAGAGTCTGGATGAAAGGGAAACATCTACCCATCCCTTTAATATGTGCCCCTCATTTCCTGCTACAATGAGCTCCCCCCAGATGACAGGTAGACTGACCTATCTTCAGTGCTGGGTATCATCTTCTACCACATTCTGGCACTTTATGTGGAGTACAATTTCTTGTATCAGAGTCCAAAATCACTACATGATTAAAATTCACTGCATTTTCTTGTATTTTAAAAAATAAACAATCAGATGTTATTATTGAAGGGATTATTTTGAAATCAAATGTCCTTAGACAATGATTAAATTCAGAAACATTTCATCCTTTTTTCTAATCTGAATTTGTTTTGAACATAGCCTTGCAGAGAAGAAAAAAAAAAAGAGTACCCAGCTCTCAGATTTCGGATATTTTATACCAGTAGCCCCTTTGTTAAATGGCAGATACAATATAGCCAATCATTCTTACATCATCCATTACTAGCTGATCATAAATTATTAGTATTTTAGGGCATGCAGCTATGTGATTGATATCTGCAAGGCTAATTTAATAGATGTGGTACAAATCACTGTTAGGAATATCTGTGCCATAGTTCTGATACCCTTATTGGAATCACGGCAGTGTGTTATTTGTTTACAGTGGCACTTTATTTGTTTGTTTTTAAACAAGAAAACCTCTGCCAGCAGTAAAAGATTCTGTTAAGTGGTATGAAACTTTGTGAATGTTGAAATTCAACATGCTTCGTATTATAACCAACCTGCAAGAACATTGTGGTCAATCGTGTGAATACCAAATCAATATATACTGTATATTGTATTACAGAAATTTGTATTTAAAGGCAAAGATACGATGCTATACCTGGGGAAAAGGGTATTAGATATTTATTAAGTAACAATGAGAAATGCAACAAACTTCCTTATTTATGCCTTATGAACAAAAGAGTGTGAAATATGAGGTGGAGTTTTCTGTGCAAGACCCTACAGGAGTGGGTACCCTTGAAGGCAGGGACTGTGTCTTTTCTATGTTTGTTCTGTACAGCTCTCAGCACACTCTTGGTGCTTGATACATGTTATATAATACCAATAACTAAGCACATTTTTAGATCTTTTTTCAAATGGCTTGTGTAAAATTTGGTTAATGTACAATGGTTGGTTTGAAGCTATCATGTAAAATCTGCCTCTCCAAATATAATCAAAAATAAACTGAAAAATATAAAATATCTTGTAGTGAGATTTTATCCTATGCATAAATTTAAGTGTTGAGTTTTATGCACACACTGAAGCATCCAGCCTGCTGCTATTTCACAATGCCACATAGTCAGCCCTCTGAGCACGCCCCTCTCCAGTTAAAACCCTGCAAAGAAAAAACGATCCACCCTGTCTTCTAGAAACACAGGTTACCTTTGCCTGTTTCTGACTTTTATGCCAATTGACTTGTGTGGTGTGTACTCCTTTGTGTCTGTCTTTCACCACCTGCCCTGATGTTTGGAGAGATGCCTGTGCTGTTGGGTGGTTGTACTTTTCTCATTTTCATTTTACTAACTCATTGTGAATATAACATGATTTATTTATCCATTCTACCATTATTCTAAATTTTTTTGTTTTTAATTTTTTTTGTAATGGGATATTTTAAATGAGTAATTTGATAGTATAAAAACCTAGAAAGTGGGAAAACTATTAAACTCTTCCATCTGAAAAATATTATTATAAATATGTATAAGAATACACAGAACCCTCTATTATTTATCACAATAAGAGAACTGAATGCTTGAACCAATCAAGAATTTCCATCTATAAAGTCTGCCAACTTCTTTTTTTAAATTTCTTTTTAGTTGTAGATGGACACAATACCTTTATTTTATTTATTTATATGGTGCTGAGGATGGAACCCAGGGCCTCATATGTGCTAGGCAAGCACTCCACCACTGAGCCACAACCCCAGCCCCTAAAGTCTCCCAACTTCTAAGCAATCAGAAAATAGTTAACCCCCAAACTATGTTGAATACTGTTCTGTTTAGTGAGGACCCTATACAGTATGACAGGATATTCAATGCTTTATCATCACTTATTAAAATCATTGTTAACATGCAAAGAAACAGAAATCATATTCTGTGAGACACCTTAGTGGGCCAAGCACAGAGTCAGAAGAGCCCGATGGTAAACTCAATAGGAAGAAATTTCTTAGAGTATGGAATTTTGAATACACGTGCTTGGATAACTTGTATTTTAATTTTTCTTAAGGCAGGGCTAGTACTTTTTTTTAAAATTTAGAATATCATGCTAAGTTAAATAAGCCAGTCCCCAAACAACAAAGGCAGAATGTTCTCTCTAATATGTGGATACTGACCCACAACAAGGGAGGGGAAGATTAGAAGTTCTTTGGATTAGACAAAGGGGAATGAAGACAAGGGAGGGAGAAGGTGATAGAAAAGACAGCAAAATGAATTGGACCTATATTTCCTATCCTCATATATAAATACACAACCAATGGAACTCCACATCATGTACAACCACAATAATGGGATCCTAATTAGAACAAGTTATACTTATTCTATGCATGTTTCACATTTTAAACTATACTGTCCATTCTACCATTGAACGGACATTTGGCTAGCTTCCAGTTTAGGGCTATGGATATTCTTCCATGTGTCTTTTCCATAACACAGGAAGGTGGAAGTAAAACCCCTGGGTCACGAGAAATGTCTGTGTTCTGCATTGGTAGATATTGTGAAGAACTTTTAAAAAATGATTCTACCAATATACACTCTCATCAGTAGTAGAGGTTCCATTGGCTCCACATCCTACCAACTATGTAGCCATTCTGTTGAGTATGAGTGGTATCTCACTGTGTTTTAAATTAACATTTCACTGATGACTAAAATAATTTGCTACCTTTTTATATGTTTATTGGCCATTCAGATATCCTATTTTGTAAAGTGCTTATTTATGGTTTTATCCAGTTTCCTTTTTTTAAAAATCTAGCTTCCTATTGGATTGTATGTCTTTTTCTTATTGATTTGTAGAAATTCTTTATGTGTTATGGAAGTGAATTGTTTGTCAGATAACTATTGCAAACATTATTTTCCATTTTGTGAGCTGTATGTTTTGCTGTCTTGATGATACCTTTTTGGTAAATGGGGAATTCTTGGTTTTGGTATAAAAATTTATCATTTTTCCCCCATGTAATTGGCAATTTGGTCCTGTTTAAGAGATCTTTACATACTCCAAGCTCCTAAAGATGGTCTTTTCTTCTGGAAACTTTATTGCTTTACTTTTAATAATTAGAGCTGTACTCCTCAAGTTGATAATTGTACCTGATTTGAGGCAGGTTAAGATATGTTTTTTCCCCATTTAGTTGCCCATTGATCATCCATTTACTAGAACATCTGTCCCCTTTGATGTAAATCTATTGAATGTCTGTATGGTTTGGGGGCTTTTTATCTTACTCCATTGGTCTAATCATCTTTTCTTGCATAAGCACCATATTGATTTTTTCATCACGGATTCTTTAATTCTGGAACTATGAAGCAAATGAATAATGACTGACTTGGGCAGTTGCCTTAGTACATTTCTCACTTGTGAAATCATATCCTGGAGGATGGTGAAGAGAAAATGTGTCCAGCTCCTTTTATCCCTTTTACCATTCAGAAATGTCACTGGCTTCCCTGCTTGAGTCATTAAAGAAAAGTGATTACTTTAAGCCGGAGTCACAGAACATGGCAAAAAGCAATTAGTATCTTGACATCTAAACACAGAAAGAAATCTCTGACAAGATCTTGGAGAATGTTAAAGTAATTACACCATGGTAGGTATGAAAATGCTTTTTTAGTTTTCCAATAAAATATTAATTGGACCCACAAATCCAAAGTTTGCCTTTAGCTGGACCAAACCTAGATTGAACTTTGCCTAAGTGCTCTGAAAACATGAATTAAAAAAATCATATACAAGTTATCTTTTAGGGAAAAAATGTTTATCCTCCCTAAGAGGACAAATCAATATGTAATATGCTATTGTAAGGCATTTTAATCTATCATTAATTTAGCTTCCTCCCCCCAAGTACTAACAAAAGTCAATATTTGGTTAACTTACTTTACATTATTGAATGTACTTTAAAAAAAAAAAGCATACACCATTTCCTAGTGCTCTCTAGAATTCATGCTTTGCAATAGCTCCTACTGGCTTTCTCCATAGTGAGTCTAAATTACTGAGATGTTGCTGTACCTAGATTTTGTTTATAGCTTCATTAATCCTTGTGATGAAAGGAAGGGGACAAAGTGCACATGATTTCATACAGAAATCATATTACATTATGTGAAAAATAAATGAGTCTCTAAAAACAGGAACATAATATCTGAGTTTCTGGCCAGAACCAGATACTGCGTTTTGACCCTCAGAATGTGCACCTTGCAAACACTATCTCTTTGCTGCCTTAAAATTGACTTTGGCTCATAACAGTTTATGAAAATTCCTGAAAGATTCATTAAATCCTGCACATAAAATTATTGCTAGTGCAAGTGTGGTTAATTGCAAATACAGTTTCCTTTCATTTGTCAGGGAAAGTTCTTAATAAATTATACCTAATAAGTCATTGAGTAGTTGCCCTTCTAATAGAAGAAATGTACATGGTATTTTCATGCTGGTTGCTCATATTCATGTTCTACAATTTAATGATTTTTGCATAATTTCAGAAGTCCCAGTGAGGAAGCTTTTCCCAGCACATTTTCTCTGGGCCAGTCCTGTTTGATCTAGATGTCTCAGCCAGTCTACATTAGCATTTTGTTGCTTTCTTATTACTGTTCAATTTTACCACTAGCAATGCACATGTGACCTATATACTTCTTTCTGATTCAAACTTTTCCCTACTCTTTGGTTTGTTAATTTATTTATTTAATCAACTGATATTTATTCAACAACCAGAATATTCAAAGCTGAAATATTTTTGCCTGCTGTATCCTCAAAAGACAGGAACGTCTTGTACATACTAGATGCTTGATGAGAATAGGTTGAGTGAGTGGACATATGAGTGAATAAGAGTCTTGAACCAATATCTTGGAACTTGCACTCCAAGGGATGTGCAAGCTAATTAGCTTACTTACTTAATCAAGTGAGTGAAACCATTTCAGTCAGCAGTGGATGCAAGGAAAAGAGATAGAGATCAACTTAGAGAGGAGCAGAAGCATTGAATCGGAGTGGCCCCTAAAGGCTTCCTGAAAGAGGTGGCATGTGGACATTTGAGGAAGAACATTTCTGGCAGAGAACTTGCAGTCCTGAGAGGAGAATGAAGACCACAGAGAAGTCCAGTGTGGGTTGAACTCAGTGAGCTAGCCTAGGAAATGTGCTGTGAGGAGAGATCAGAGAAGTAGGGAGAGACCAGGTTATACAGGGCCTTGCAGAACACAGTAAAGAAGGAAGATCTCATTTT